AGCGCGCATAATTAAATAGGTCACTTGAGGCTTAATTCAGTCTTAATTGCACAACTATCGTAGTAAGGGCGATAGTATGTACGAGCTAAGCCTGGTAACATCCCCCGGTCGGCGAACACACCTGCACGAAAAGATAAATCGCTCTCCCAAAACCCCCATTTAATTCCCGACTGTAACAATAGTCTAGCACAATATATGCATGGCACACAAATATGTTGGTAAAGAATGTTATTTTGAAACTGTGTGTGTAGTTTACACAAACGTGTGTTGGGACGCCAAGGAGAAATGGACAAATTTGTCATTATTTCAGAATTAGTTGCATTTACAGTGAAGTCAACTGATTGCATACTAGCAGACAAATAACTATTGTTCATATTCATACGAGAATCTTTCATTAGAGTTTCCATAACTACTGCAGGTCCTTGTTCAAACGGTAACCGAGGTTTCAGCGAATCCGGTTGTACGAGCTTATATATAGGAAATGTATGTGTCGACATTGTATAAAAATAATTTAGATAAATTCAGAACGTCAAAAATTGCACGGCTGTTCAGTAAAACGATTGTTTAAATAATTCATAAAATTCGGGGTGCTTTATTTATAATAATAGAAAATATATTAGGGAGGGACAACATGTTACAAAATTTATTTTAGTATGTTGTATCGATCTTCCTATTATGTCTATACAATTACAATGCAGTTTTAAACAATGTAATCCTTTAGTCAATATGTAACGGTTCTATCAATAACCCAAACCCATTTTACTTTACAAAGAAAGGAATGTTCATCATCATTCTCAAAAATTTAAGTTCGAAATTGCATGTAACCATATTATTTGCCATACACGTTTTTATATTCTGTTATCATTCTTTTTTTTTTTTTCTCCTCCAAAAAACCATTTAAACATCGTTAACAAAACTATCGCATCAGAATGGTTTACCAGAAGTCAGTCAAAAAAAAACGCAAAACTAATGTTCGATGAAAATACTAATCACCAGATAAATTTATCAAAAACAAAAGGGGCTTTAGTTAACCGCTGCGCCAAATTAAAAAAAGTCAAAAGCGAAACTGAATTTAACCAAGCTTAAAATATTTACTTAAAGATATTAAAGAACTTCGTTGCTTATCAAGTCAAAAGCCCGAAACAAAGGTAAAGTAATGAGCGAAAACTAAAAAACAAACGAACAAGAAATGGAATCCGAAATTAGAAATAGAAAAGAAAAGAAAAGAAAGAAAAAAAAAACAATCTCAAAAAAAATTTTTCCTCGGCTCTATTTCTTTAGTGCTAGCAAGGAAGTGTTCATTGCCTCTTTCTTGGTCGTCCCCTTTTTGGCCGCGGCTACTATCGTCTCTCCAACGTCTTTATCAGCAACGATCGTTGAATTTTCTCTTTTCCGCTTTATAATCTCCCGAGCAATATTGTCGACTTTTATGGTGTTTCCGTTTTTACTGTCAATGTGGGTGGTTTTTTCTGCATTGATTTATGAACCGCTACTATTCGACTCTCCACCGAATTTCTCTTCTTATTTTTATTGTCCTTGTTTGTTACTGACCACGGCACACTGTTCGACGAATCCGTCTTTAAGTTTACGAATTGCATTTCTATTACGTCACAATATAACTTACTTTCGATAACAAACAACTCTGCGGTACACTGGATCATGGACGAGGTTTTCGCGACGGTGAAAGTATTTTTCAAACGGCCATCTAAAGCATGTGTTAATGTTCGGACCCATTCTAGGATTTGACCCATTCGTAGTCTGACTAAGTCACCTATGCTAAATAACTGAACTATCGAATAGCCTCATGTGTTTGACTTACATCCATGGTTACTGATTCGTCACTACTATTATTATTATCGTCCATAACCACAGATTTATCGCTCCAATCTGTAATGGTTGATAATCCATAAAGTGACCGATTGTATTATTTGGCGAACGTGTATATATACGGGTAGAGGTTCACCAGTCATTTAGGCTATTAAAAATTGTTCACACATATATCGATTCATATTAACAATGTCTTCAAGTAAATTTGATCAACTAACTGAATATTACACGCCTGAGAGAACGATGGATGACAATGAAACCTATATTGAACAACTACTCACAGGGAATTTTATGCAAGATACAATAATGTATAAACCTTTCCGTATGATCCCACCAAGTCCACGTCGTTCCACGTATGTTTTCCGACTTGATACATGGCTATATGGTATGCTAAGACCAAATGTATGGAATGAATCGATAAAGAGATTTGTAATGAGATGC